GGGCCTCCACCCAAGCCCCGCCTGCTTCCTCGCCCTCTCCCTCTGGCTCTAGGACTGTGCCCGTGTGGGGTGGGGCTGGCCCACTAAGCGTCTTCTCAGCCCTTTCTCTCAGTGGGCCAGCAGGCTGCAGCAAAGAAGGGTGTCCTTCCCTTCCTCTAGGGAGCTCCCCTTCCGAGCTTGGTTCCTACTACTGAGGCCCGAGGCTACCTCTCTTCTGCTTGGCCTAAGCAGAGTCATGGCCTTGAGGACCAGTGACCAGGGTCAGGCTGCCATGAATGGGCTAAAGAAGGTGCTGACACTGGACACCATGAACCAGTGTGTGCGCAGGTTGGAGTATGCGGTTCGCGGCCCCATTGTGGTTCGTGCTTTGGAACTGGAGCAGGAGTTGCGCCAGGTACAGGGTCTGGTTTGGGAGCACGCACCACTGCCCTGGAGGCTGTACCTGGGCAAGTGGGACGAGAAGACCATCTGGCGTCTCACTGCCCCGCTCCATCCAGGGTATGAAGAAGCCCTTCACTGAAGTCATCAGAGCAAACATCGGAGACGCACAGGCCATGGGGCAGAAGCCCATTACCTTCATGCGACAGGTGAGGCTCCCAGCCCTGGCTCAGGCTGTTTGCTAAGCCCACTTGCCCTGCCTCATGGCTGCTTCTCCCAGGTCGTGGCCCTTTGTACGGACCCTGAGCTCTTGAGCAGCCCCCACTTTCCTGAGGATGTCAAGAGAAGAGCAAAACGGATCCTGCAGGCCTGTGGGGGCCACAGCGTCGGTAGGTCAAGGGCGTCCAGATGGGTCCAAAAGCCCAGGGAGAGCCTGAGCTGGAGAGGCAATGCCAGGAGAAGGGTCGGTGTGCTCCCTGGACAGGATGCCTCCCTGTAGGGCTGTAGGGAACCCAGTCACGTCCCACACCTTCTGGTCCCACAGGGGCCTACAGCATCAGCTCTGGCATCCGGCTGATCCGGGAGGACGTAGCCCGATACATCCAGCGGCGTGATGGTGGCATTCCCTCAGACCCCAACAATATCTTCCTGTCCACCGGAGCCAGCGACGCCATCGTGGTAGGCTAGGTCGGGGCAAGAAGGCACAGGCACATGGCCAGCGGCTGGGCAGGAAGTCCTGGACTCCCACCATGGTCCACCCGCTTTCCTTGTGTTGCCGCAGGCGGTGCTGAAGTTGCTGGTGGCCGGTGAGGGCCTCACGCGCACAGGCGTGCTAATTCCCATCCCACAGTACCCACTCTACTCTGCCACGTTGGCCGAGCTCGACGCCGTGCAAGTGGACTACTACCTGGATGAGGAGCGCGCCTGGGCACTGGATGTGGCCGAGTTGCAGCGCGCACTGCACCAGGCGCGCGACCGATGCTGCCCACGCGCGCTTTGCGTGATCAACCCGGGTAACCCCACCGGTGCGCCACCCTGCTCCATCCCGACCGCGACCTTGCCCCTCCGACCAACCCCAACCGTGCTTGGCTCCCCCATCTCCAACTTAGAGCAGCGTGAGCCCTCCCCTGACCAGGTCGTTCCCCATCCCCCGCGCTCTCAGGACAGGTGCAGACCCGAGAGTGCATCGAGGCTGTGATCCGCTTCGCCTTTGACGAGCGCCTGTTCCTGCTGGCTGATGAGGTACCTGGCAGCGCAGGCGGGGGTGGGGTGCAGTAGGGCAGGCGGGTCGCGCGCAGTTATGCCCTGACCTCGTACCTCGCCCCCAGGTGTACCAGGATAACGTGTACGCAGAGGGCTCCCAGTTTCACTCCTTCAAGAAAGTGCTCATGGAGATGGGGCCGCCTTACTCAACGCAGCAGGAGCTCGCCTCTTTCCACTCCGCCTCCAAGGGCTACATGGGCGAGTGCGTACAGGGCAGAGAACCGCTGATCCCGGGCCCCGATAAGCCCACCTGATCTGCCGAGCTAAAGCCTTCTCTCCAGGCCTGCATTTGACGACCGCCTTGCCCCGGCAGGTGTGGGTTCCGTGGCGGCTACGTGGAGGTGGTGAACATGGACACCGCAGTGCAACAGCAAATGCTGAAGTTGCTGAGCGTGCGGTTGTGCCCGCCTGTGCCTGGTCAAGCCCTGCTGGACACGGTGGTCAGCCCGCCTGAGCCCTCTGACCCCTCCTTTGCGCAGTTTCAGGCGGTGAGCAGACAGGCGACTGAGTGGTGGGTGACCTGGAGCGGGGGCAGGGAGAGGACCACTCATGACTTAGTGGTTAAAGGACATGTTTCTGACCCATCGGCTGTTTTGAGGCAGGAAGGTGCTTTGTAGA